GACGAGCGCCCCCCGCGCTCCTCCAGCCGCCCGCTGGACACCTCGCTCCGCGCAGCCCCTCGCCGTGCACCCGAGGCGACGCCCCGAGACTCCCTCGTTCGCCCCTCGCGCGTGTCAGTCCCAGGCGGACACTAACTCTGGTTCGCGGGCCTTTTCTCATTCTGCCGCGTTCCCTGTGCAGACGCGCAGCTCCGCTTGTCTCAGGAATGCCTTCGATGGGCTTCTCTTTCCCCCCAGGTAGTTTATAAACGGTTAGGGGATTAGGGTGAAGTTAACATGTTACCCTGATCTCATCCTGGGGCTCAGTGAGTGCTTGTTGAATAGTTGAATGAGTGAGTGTATAAAGGGATAAATGAGCCTGTAACTGAGAAAACTCTGAGCTAAACATAAAAAAGTCTAGCTTTATAAATTTGTGCAAAGTCCTTGTTCTCTGGAATCTTGGTCACCAAAGAGAGGACGCTGATCCTCATCTCACCTTGCCTACCCAATAAGCGTTGCTTTTTAAGTTGTACAGAATACAAAATATGACTGTTCAGTTTGCTTGAAAATCCTATAACATATCTTATCCTGGTCACAGAGTGTAGAGTGTTCTTATTCTCTGCCCCTTACAGAATAATGCCCACCCAACGATAGAAAATGCCACACCAGGGAATCTACCTCCACTTTTCCTCCTGGAGTTATATTATTTACATGCAGATTCTTATATATTTCATGCTCTGGACTATTAAAGTTTTCTAAATCTACTCTACTTTCTATCACGTAACAGGAGCTGAGTGGAAGGAGTCAATGGGGGTGGGGACATTTGTAATAATTTCAACAATAAAGATAAATTTTAAATGTAATAATATGAAAGCAAAAATATCCATGAAATATTTGAATCGCTCTAAAAAAAGACTGCATACTCAAGATTATAGCTTGATAACTTCATTTCACATTTAGATATTAGTCTTTTGTCCTCTGACTAAATATATGACACTGTATTTTATTTAAATTATACATGTATAGCCCGGCCGGGCGTGGCTCAGCGGTTGAGCGTGGACCTGGGATCCAGGTGATCGGGGTTTGGTTCCTGGTCAGGGCACATGCCTGGGTTGCGGGCTCGATCAATGGTTCTCTCATCATTGATGTTTCTATCTTTCTCTCTCCCTCTCCTTTCCTCTCTCTGAAATCAATAAAGATATATTATAAAAAATAAATAAATAAATTATACATGTATAAAATTACCTTATATTTACAATGTGCCAGGCATTGAGCTTAGCACTCTGCATGTGTTACCAATTTAATTCTTCTAGAAGTCCCATAAGGCACTATTATTATACCTGTTTTATAGGTGAGAAAACTATGACTAAGAGATATTGACTCTAAGTTCACATGATTAGTAAGTTGCAAAGTCAGGACTTAACAAATCCAAAGGACTCTAAAGACCCAGCTCTTAATTGCTATTCCATTCTCCAGAGCTGTCAGAATTAAAAGTCATCCTTAAACTTAAAGGAAGAGAAGGCCTGTGGAGCCTTCTTTCTCCCCACCCTTCCAATATCCAGATACCCCACTTTGAAACATTAACTCATTCCCCTACATACAGATAATTTGGCATCAAATGTTTCTTGCTATGTGTTAGATACTGTATTATGTTTCTTTTTTCAAACTTTTTTGACATTTTATTTGTGTATATGGAATTTGGGGGGCAGGGGTAAAGAAGTAAAAGTACTAAAAATGGAAAAACTAGGGAAGGATTAGACTCTTTTTTTCTGGAAATTTAGAAAAAGTAAAATCTCAAGAAATTATTTGATATATACAAGGTATTTGTTGCAGCATTATTTGTAACTGTAAAAAATAGAAACAGGCCCTGACACAGTAGCTCAATTGGTTAGAGCCCACATCCCGATGTGCCAAGGTTGCAGGTTCCATCCCCAGTCAGGGCACATACAAGAATCAACCAATGAATACATAAATAAGTGGAACAACAAATCTCTCTCTCAAATCACTAAAAAAATTTTTTAAAAGAATAAAAAGGTAAGGATCCACCCTTCTGCATAATAGAACATATGTAATTCTTCTTATTAGTTGACCTTGAGCAAAGTGCTTCTTCATAATATTGGTGGCTAACATGGCACAATACACATTTGGAAGCATTAAAGACCTGTGTATTATATGAAACATAGTATAGTGGATAAGATTCCTGTATTTAAATCTCAGCTTTAGCACGCAGTAACTGAGAACTTAAATCATTAAACTGCTCTGTTACTCAGTATCTAATCAGTAAAATGGGAATAATAACAGTACCTATTTCATAGTGTTGTGGAAAGACCATGTGACTTCATGCATGTAATGCATTTAAATAAGTACACCAGGAAAGGGGAACCTAGAGACTGAAAGAGGCTTGAAACCTATATTAACCAAATGCAATATGTATAGGTCAAGAAACATATCCATCAAATACAGTATGTGGACATTTGGGGCAAATCCTGATTTGAATAAAGCAGCTGCAACAGATACTATGAAGCAGTTGGTGAAATTTCAATCCTGACTGTGGTGGTATCAAGGAATTACAGTTATATTTTAAATGTGCTAATGAATTGTGTTATTATTTAAGAATCTTCATCTTTTAAAAATGTATATGGAAGTATTTAATCATGAAATGCCTGAAATTAGCTTCAAAACAATAAAGTGATGGGGGGGGGGAGATATAGATGATAAAAGATTGCCCCATTGTTGCTTATTACAGCATGGTTGTTATTTTTTAATACTGTTCTCTCTTCTTTTGTATGTGTCTGAAGTTTTACAAAATAAATAGTTTTTAAAAGTGCTGGAACATAGTATGGATGATGTAAATCTTTACTATTATTATGTGCTATTTATAATATTATCTATAAATACGTCTTTTGTTTGCACCTTTCAGATTACAACGTGTTTTCATTTATGTCTTCTGCTTAGTCACACTAAACCTAGAAGGTAGGTATTATTATGCCCACTTTACAAATGAGAAGACTGAACCAGAGACAAGACTGCAAGCCCAGGAAACATACCACCTTCACTCTGCCAGCTAGAGGGGCCCTGTGATAAAAGGATAGGAGGTCCCCTCAGCCACTGGTACAAGATCCTTGCTTCCTTCATGGCTGTAGTTAGATCTAGTAAGGAGAGAATAAACGGAACCTACAGCATGATTTATTTAGAAAGCTGCCAGACAAGATTCGAGCTCACATTTGCACATCAGAAAAATCCTACCTGCTACTTTAAAAGGCAATCTCAGAATAGAACACAGCAGAAGGGATTAAGGGGAAAGTTCTCTCCACCGTTTGTATTTTCTTTACATAATTGTGTATTATTTTAAGTTTTATTAACTTAACTTTATATCGTCTACCTAACCTGTTAATTCTTGCTAAAAAGAAAACTAAGACTAGGGGCTGAGATGAGAAACTATGGGAAGCGAGGCTGAGAAGCAGGAGGACGTCACAACCCAGCTGTTTTGAGGCCCAGCCGCCTAACAGTTCCGTTCCACCTTAAGAAGCTTTGGCGGCTCCCGCGGCGGAGCAGGCAGTCGGCTCCGCCCACTCCCGTGTCTGCCCCGACCCGGGAACGTGGGGAAGGGAGGAGAGACGCACTGAATGGAAAGACTGGCGCCCGGGGCTGCAGGGTCTCTCCTTCCCCACTGCACCCGCGCCCGGAGGAGCGTGGAAAGCACCGGGCACTGGGGTTTCGTTCTCTCCCGGAGGATCAGGGTGGGGATGTGTTCCACTAAATTGCGGAGGAGAGGATATGTGAGGGGTGGGGCTCATCTTAGGGTGGGGTCGAAGGGGGACGGAACGGGGCGTTTGAGATACACAGTACGCAGTGATCGCTCGTGAAAAAATTGTCAGTTCGCGAGGTCCGGACGCACCTCTTCGAACCGTTTCCAAAAGAGGGGCAAGTTTTCCATTCTCCGCCCCGATTCCCCTTCTTTATTTTAATTGATTGGGTTTAAGGTAGGCTGGGCCCAAGGTTGCTTGTTGATTGGCTACCTAAGTAATCCATCAGGGTGACGCGACGCGGGGGGCGGCTATTTGGGGAGGAAGTGGGGATTATTTTGGTACCTCCTACCCCAACTACTGATTGGTTGAGATCTGCCCCGCTGCGAAACAAGCCTAGAAAATGTCCACTGAGGAGCAGGGCCTATTGGCCGTCTGGCGGCGGCGTCCAGGGTGGGGCTGGGAAGAGGCCGCCCGGCTCTGTTATTGCGGCGAAGGACAGACTGGCCTGGACTCCGGAAGTGAGCTGCGGAGAGAAAGAGGGAGAAAGGAAAACCCGCGGCCCCTCGGTTGCCCTCAGAGAAGGTCATTTCCTGCACGGGATCGATGCTTTCCTGTTTCCTCGGCCAAGGCTGCGTGTGCCCTGGCTCTCCGGAATGTGCGTGAAAACTAAATTCTTAGGAGCCTTTGGGCCCCGACTTCCCACTCACTCACGTTACCTAAAAGAGTGAATGGCGGGGGAAGGGGAAGGGCGGGGGCGTGACCCTGCCGCTGGGGAGTGGCGGGG